GGGGGGGTGGGTGGGGAGATTGTGTACTTGTACCCCCTCTTTGATTCCTAGGCCACCCAAATTTAAAAACAACTGCCTGGCAATAGTAGCAGCATTTCTAGCCAGGTAGCGCTGAGTGGGACAACTGACTTCATGGCTCATTGCAATCAACCTGATCTCTTTTAGATGCTTCATGCCACAGGTGCTAACAACCCTCTCTCCTTCTTGGTGGTCTTGATGTTCTGCTAATCAAGCTATGCTTCGTCCTATAACTCCACGGTCTGTTAGCTGCTCCTGGTCATGAAGCTCCTATTTCACAGCTCTGCAGATTGTTTTTGATTCATTCCGGTGGAGTTATGATTTGTTTCTTGCTTTGATCTTAAACTAACACAGCCCTAGGCTGCTAGCATATTAGTAAAGCATCTAGTTTATTTTTAACAGGAGAAAAATGTATGTTGTTTTATATGCGATGATGCACCTCACCATCTGCACCCCCGCTCCGCCTTTCAAAATCCTAGATCTGCCTACGGGTTCTGGTCCTGCACGTCCTTATGAACCATTGGGAAAGAGGAGAAGATAAAGAAAAGGAGCAGATACTTATTTAAAACTAGCAAACCTGGGCCAATGCTTGATGAATAAGACGTTGTATGCATACCAAGCTTGTGAGGCAAGCAGGAGTGTCAAGTGGTTACTGGAAATGCTAACTTGTAGGTCATTAAACAGAGAGTAGCTGTTGTTGCTGGGGCAACCTAAGTGGAACATCTCTTTCACCTTGTTTGATCTTAAATAAATAAATAAATAAATAAATAAAAACAGTGACATAATTATTACCATGTACGGTCTTCTTCAGGAATAGAAGTGAGGAAGAGCAAATTTGGAGCTGGGTAGTATATGGGATGGGTTGAAATACATGGATATTTCAGTCCAACATCAGTACCTAAACTTAACTGCTTTCACCAACTAGGGCTGAGTGGTCATCTGCGCTTACTAGGAACCTGGTGTGAAATGAGTCAGTGATTTCAGCCCACTTCCTGACAGACAGGCATTCAAAGCACAGACTACCTTGGCCTGAATGGACATGCCTGTAATATAACTGTTACATCTCTGTACAGACTGGTAAGGCAAGGCTGGATAGTATGTCCTGGAGTATTGTTCTTGTGCACTTCATCTTGTTTCGCTTTACGGCTATATAGACAGTTGCAATACGCTAGCAACTTTTGCAATCACTATAGCAATTGGGGAAAAATGAAGAAAGAGAAACTGAAGCCATGGGGCTTGGAGGAGCCTGACATGGCATCATGCTAAACTGCAGTGAGCCAGTGCTGTTGATGGCTCTTCTGATTGCATCTTCTCCACGAATTGTTCTGCTGCTATCCATCAAACTGCTGTGCTTTCCAGATTGCCATGAGGGGAGTCTATAGCAGACCTGACTTAAAATGAAGTGGCAAACATGACATTCACTTGTTGACTGGATTCTTCTACAGAACTTATTGATATTTTAGACAGGTGTCCTGTTCGCTTGTTGAACTTTCTCATAGATCCTTGACTAGCCTCACAGCTGGTATAATTGACATTGTTCCGTTAAAAGCCACACTGCCATACCACTACACATCAGGCACTACGCATCAGCTGATGATCTGACCTCAGTTACTGAATTTATTCTCCGTTTTGGTAATTCTGTGAAGTGCACCCAACAGCCCTCCCTTCCCTGCTCTCCTCAAATACATTCCTCTTTTTTTTTTTTTTGAAATATTGGGTAAAGAGCATGACAGAGAGAATAACACAATACATGAGAGCAGGCATGGTTTTTAAAAATTTTTTTTTTAAGAAACTGCATACAGGGACAAACAATAATTTAAATAGCATGCAGTTTCAGTATGTACAAAACCTAGGACATAGAGATCCAGTTTAATTTTTTTTCTAGTTATTTACATGTTTTCATACAGCCATAATCTGTTAAATTACAATACTGGAAGAGCACATGATTGACAGTCACCACATTCACTCCTATACAAAGACGAGCTATGTACATACACTTGGATATCAACTGGAAAATGCAACTGGCTCTGAAGTAATTGAGACGCATGGAAAAGCAGTTAATGTGCCCTTCACTTAATTTTTGTATTATCAGTCATCCTAAAGTGGAGCTGGGTGAGCACCTGAGGAAAAATTTTTCTGATTTCTGTGGCCCAAATTTTCACCGTTTTCTTCAGTGACTGTTTGTACAAAGTGGTTTTACTGGCAGGAATATTAAGAAGTCTCTCAGTTATATGTGAATATGAGTATTTTTTTATCCAAATGAAAGTATTTTCTGATCACATTGGAAGTGCTGTTTATACCATTTCAACCATTCAGTCTGCACACACAATGTGTGATCCATGCGGTCAGTGAAGGGAGAACAGCTGATGAGACAGTAAAGTGCATACGAGTAAAGTTAAGCCAAATCTTATTCATATAAGGGGTTTGTTTGAAAAGTTTTAAATATAAATTAGTACAAATTGAAGTCTATTATTATTAGTCACTATTTCGCCCCTCCCCTGGGAAATGCCCCCAGTATGTGTTGGCACTGTACGGGTGCAAGAGAGGCCATGGGCTCCACCCCAGAGCGTACACTCTAAAGCTTGCTCAAATAGAAAACGCGTACACAGGGAGAAGGGCTATAGCTGTGAAATACATTGTTATTTATGAATCCTCCACCAAGGTCTAGCCTCAACTATTTTTGCAAGGGTGGGGAGGAAGAGATGTTGCCTTTGCTTTAGCTCAGAAGTTTGTGTTGTGTTCTCAAAACATTTAGTGAGAAGCGTTACAGTTATTTTTAGTATCAATCAATGCTCTTGTTTCTTTCTGGAGCACAAGTTACATTACAACTTAGAAACGTTAAGAAGAGTGGGTTAGGATTCACTAGGTTATTACTGACAATTTTTCTTTTTCAACATTAGCATTTTTTTTCTCTTCTGCATACTTAGTGATCAATAATGCAGTGAAGCAAGTTTTGTCCTTACCAACTTACATTTATTTCTTTTTCAAGCAAGATACATTGCTCTTATTTTTCGATAGCCTTCTGTTGCAAATGAAGCTCACTGCTGATAACTGACTATTCCAAAGGGAAGGCAGCTGCTCGTTCCTTACCTCCACCTGGACTATTTTAGGAAAAGTGTACACGCCTCTCTTTTCCAAAAAAAAAGAATACCAAGTACTGCATGCACCACTGCAGTGGACTTGACTGCAGCATACTGTCTGATAGGGAACATGTCACAGTTCTGTGAAAAAGTGGTGAAAATCCCTGTCATTTTGCTCTGAAGTGCCCATTAATGTCATTGGGTGCTATACATGCAAAATAAGGGTGCAGTCTAGTCTTTTGTCATCAGTGACCTTTAATGCCTGTGAAATACCCAAAACATTATTAACAGTAAAAATACCAGCTCAGTAGCATAGATTACTTCATGATAAAGTGTTGCACACTTACTTAGGCTGGATTCCTCAGCAATATTTTGTACTCCACTCTGCTGGTATTTGTACTTCTACAGCAGGAGTGCTCAACTTCTGGCCCATTGGGCTTCCCACAAATTGGGAGGGGGGGTGGGCAGTGGCAATGAATACTGCCACCCCTCCCCACTGCCAGATTCCCCAGCCCTTGGTGGATCAGAGCTGGGGCACCTGCCACCACTGCACAACCCAGTTAGGGTTGTGCCACATCCTATTTCAAGTACATGGCTGGATCAGGGCTAGGCCATGCCCCTTTCCCCATGAGACTGGCTGTGGTGCCCCTCCACCCCCACATGGGGCCAGGTTGGGGCTAGGCGAAGCCCCCTTTACTGCATGACTGGGTCAGGGCCCCCCACCCCCACCTGGACGGGGCCCTGCTGCACTTGCCTTGGGCACTGCATCAGGAGGACCATGAGCTGGATCCAGCCTGCCCATCTGGCCCACCAAGGAAACAGGTTGAACAACACTGCTGTAGTGAAACATTAGCAGGTCCACTGACTACTATTTCAGATTAGCATGCTCATCTGCTTGGATGTCAATACTACCACAAACACACTCTTTCTACTGTTACCCAGAGCTGGGTCTAACACACCCTACACAGCTGTGGAGCAGGGCCAGCTCAGTCAGGATAGGTTCCCACTGGGGTTGGTACCTTGGGACACCAAGGGTAAAGTACAGTGCTAGAGTGGCATTTCCTGCATCTGGTTGTGCAGTGTGAATTGCTTAGTGTAGACAGATCTTTACAGCAAATACTGCTCAATGCTTTTTTTTTTTTTTTTTTT